CTTCGTTACCGCCAGCCAGGCCCAGCGCAAGTGGTACTCCAAGGTCATTACGAAGATCTCATACGGCGGTTACAAGCTTGGAGCTAACTCTGCAAACATCCTGGTTCAAGATCGAATCACTGGTCAAATCAACGAGGAAAAGATGAGCGTTTACGTCAGACTGGGCATTCGCCTCCTGTACAAAGGATTGAAGTCGAGCAACATGGAGACCAAGCGAAGTAAGTTCCCACTGCAAACGTGTTTATAAGAAGCTTGATTAACAAATGTTCTTTTAGTTCGCAAGATGCTCAAGAGCATGAGTGTCAAGCAGGGCAAAAAGTTTGACGATCCGGCCTCCAAGGCCGAGATCCCCAAGTTCATTGAGTTCCATCGCCTCGACATGTCTGAAGTGCTCCTTGCGACGGAAGAGTTCAAGAACTTCAACGAGTTCTTCTACAGAGCTCTGAAGCCCGATGCTCGCCCATGCTCCGCCCCTGACCGTCCTGACGTCGTCGTCTCTCCCGCCGATTGCCGTAGCGTTGTCTTCAACAGTGTGAGCCAGGCGACCCAGGTGTGGATCAAGGGCCGCGAGTTCTCCATCAAGCGTTTGCTTGGTGAGGCATACCCCGAAGACGTGAAGCGCTTCGAGAACGGTGCTCTTGGTATCTTCCGTTTGGCACCCCAGGACTACCATCGCTTCCATATCCCCGTTGATGGTGTTATGGGCAAGCCAAAGACGATCGCCGGAGAATACTACACGGTGAACCCCATGGCCATTCGTTCCGCTCTCGATGTTTACGGCGAGAACGTACGAGTTCTCTGCCCCATTGACAGCCCCACTCACGGCCGCGTCATGGTCATCTGCGTTGGTGCTATGATGGTTGGAAGCACTGTGATTACTCAGAAAGAGGGTGCACAGGTCAATCGTGCCGATGAACTCGGCTACTTCAAATTTGGCGGCAGCACGATCGTATTGCTGTTTGAGCCGGGCAAGATGAAGTTCGACGACGATCTGACTGACAACTCCAATGGAGCCCTTGAGACTCTGGTAAGTTACAACTCGACCTTATTGTATTGCGAGTAGCTGCTAACACTGTTTGTAGGTTCGTGTAGGCATGTCTGTCGGACACGCTCCTGACCAGCCTCAGTGGGGTCCCGACATGCGGAAGGACGCAAAGGACGTCACCGATGCCGAGAAGAAGGACGCCAAACGCCGTATCGGAGGCAGCCTCGGAAGTGAAGAGTCATCTAGCGGCGAAGACACCCCGAACGCAAGTGCCGGCATCACCACGCACGCTGCTTCGGCCATGTAGAGTCGCCGTCTTCGCGTTGCGTGTGAGCGCTTCGGGCGCCATGTGCGCCTTGACACCGGTACCGAATACGAGTACCTGTCAGTGGCTGGAAGATAGAAGAGCAAGAACAGGTAGACAACAAAACGGTGTTGGGGAGCTGGGTGATTTCTCGCTCTTCGCATGAGCCGCGTCGAGCTTGTTTCTTGTTGTTTCGCTTCTGCGATGTTGGTGGCTTTCAACAGACACACGGCATGGTTGAATGCGACAGTAGTGCAGCGATAACGGCACCGAGCATAAGGGCACGGGATGTGGGAGCACACACATTATTGGATCAGATGCAATACTTTTACGAAATACAGAGTACAGAAAACGGGAGTAGGGGAGAGTCTATGGTGCGGGGAGGGCCTTGCTTGGCGAGGTGGGGGATCAGCAGTGTCGCTCGCTCGCTTTGAATGAATGCAGCAACATGTCAGTTTTCTGTAAAACGGGCCCCCTGGTTCCTGAAGTCCATGTGATGTGGTGGCCAATGGTTTGACGCGTCGAGGTCTAAAAGGGAAAGTTCCCATCGGCAGTGAGGCTCCAGACGAATGCATGTCTCCACGATATGGTCCGAATTCTGAAAGGTTGTCACGCCGGAGATGATGGTATTCCGCGAGTCGCGTAGGGAACGATGAAGGATGGACACTATTCCATGATCTTCCTTCTAGAACAATTCGGACTGTGTAGAGTCTAAATAGGGGGGGCGGAGAGGACAGAGAGGGGAGTTGTTCATGGCATTGATGAAGTCAAGATGGAAAATGTGGAAGGGTCGGTCCTATTATTAGCATTGATGAGGTCAAGTGGTTTGACTGGGGGTTTAATTGATTCCCCCCCCCCCCCCCCCTCTTCTTCTTCAATCGCCCAGCTATCCATCCCTTTTTCTTCAAAGTTCAGATTTCATCTTTGGTCTGGTGTCTTGTCCAAGGATGATACTAGCCAGTCTCATTAGGGGGGGGAGGGGGAGTTCCATGCGATGTTGCCGTGTGCCGACATGGGGATGCTGGTTTACCACAGTAGAGAGGTATGGCTGGCTGACCCCTTTTTTTCATGAGAGCATAGTGTGCTAGGTGAAGTGTCTTGGTGGAGTGGAGTGGGGTAGAGTGCGTGATGAGACGGTGATGGGTGATGGCTGGACGGTTTACTGGGAGAAAACGAGTCGGAATGGTTGAAGAGGTGAGTGAGCTCGAGTGAAGCTGGGAGAGTGATGTGCAGCTGGGCGAGCGGCAGCCAGAGCAGCAGAGAGGGCGGGGCACCACCACGACGAGTCGGTGAGGAGGGACGGGGGAGAGTGTGGTGCAGGTGGAGGACGGGGGGAGCGGCATCGTCGAGCGGTTCACATCGTGACTGTTTATACTTCCTGGACGACGAGGAAAGTTCGTTTGCTAATTTCCTGCCAAGACGACGGACCTCTACTCACTTGTTAAATAGTAAGTCGAGAAGCTGTCGAGGGCTTCCTTCCTTGTGTCAAAGATTATTCGGACTTTTGTGGTGGTGGTGCAACGTGAAACCTTGCCTTTGGAAAATTCACCCTCTTGAGCCGTAAGGAACGGCACTTTTCGCCAACTCGATCCTCACTTGACACCCCCTGGATCTATCTATATACCATTGGAGGGGAAGAAGCATCGATGAGCTAGCTAGACTAGAGACCTGCAAGAGACAATTTTAGGGGGGGGGGGGGGGGGGGGGGGATGAGGTAGGTATTTCTGGTAGCGAATTCATTTTATGTACGGCAGATGAGCAGGTCGAGGAGGGTTCTAAATGGCTGCTCCCTTTGGGGGTGGACGATGACTGAAGACTTTGTGAGAACAGCCAGCAAGCAGCCTGACGCCCTCCTCCCCGGCCGGCCCGGAGAGAGCGACGGGAGAGGGGCGGGGATGTCCACGGATGACCGACTCGGACGTGGGCCGCTTTTGTAACCCCCCGTCTGCGGTACGGTGGTGAGCTTCTCCATCGGCGGCGGCGACGGCGACAGTAACGAAAGGGAGTTCCAGCCGTCCGCTGAGGGGGGGGGCACGGAGAAAGTGGGATGCAGGATGAACGTTAAGCCGCGGGGGGGGGGGGTTAGGAAGTTTCCCCCCATCGTGACGACTTAACCTTGGATTGGACCAAGGTGGACGGACGGCTTGACGCGATGCGTATTGTGCGTATTGTGTATGGCATGGTGAAGCAGAGACCGACATCATCATGCTCCATCAGTGGGGTGGCTCCGTGTCTGATGTTCAGTCTCGATTCCAATGCAGGTTCCCCCCCCTGGCCCTCCACCAGAGTGGACTCTTCTTTCTCTCTCTCTCTCTCGTCCTCTCGTCCAACCAACACCCATAGTCTGGTGTTGGGATGATGGAAGTTCCCGTGAGCTCTCTCTCTTTCAGTCCCTCCCCCTCCATCGTTACGTCATGGTGGGTCCGGGTCAACAGCGGTCTACGGATAACAACTCTGGACTTTGCGAATTGTTCCTGGTTTCGGAAGTCTTGAAAAAGTAAGCAGTTGGAGATGGCTCAGTTGTGGTTCATGTGGGGGGATTCGCAAATCGCTCATAGCCTCATAACTCCATACTGATGGTACGCGATAATAATGTACGCAGGCTGTAAGGGGGGGGCTCCGCTCGACGATCACTGATTGATAAAGAGAAGTGCCGGTTCGGAGGGGTCGAGAAGAGTCGGTGTCGGAAGTCGGATGTGGACCTACACGTGTATGGAGGGGGGGGGGGGGGGGCTGAAGTTGGTTAGGAAGGAAACTTGGCACGTGAAGAGGGTCATTCGGTTATAGACGGGATACGTTGTTGACGAATAAACATGTTGTGATGAGATTGAATTGATTGTGCTGGTGACTTTGTAGATTACAGGTGTTTCAATCACAGTTGCAAGAGTCGCAGCAGAGGGAAAAAAAAAAGTGTTGATGTGAACAATTTATTTGGGGGTATCTATTCCATACACGGAAGCCTATGTTGGAGGCTCTGTTAAAGAAGAACGAGAAAAAGATGCAAGGGCAAGCAGAACCAGGCAGAAGTATGCAGGAGGGGTGGAAAGATGGAGACGAATGTCGTAGCTTTGCATGCCTCTCGAACGATATGCCCCCATTCCCCTTCACATCCCACCTTCCTCCGCGTGCCCCCGCCGGCGATACAATGTTGGAGGGGCTCCCAACTCCCCCCTGCCTGTTGATGGTACGAGCAGAGGAGAAAAGGGTACAACAAAAGAGAAAAAGTGGGCTTGATGTGATGCCCGACCCTGATGGCGTGATGGGGAAACCTTTCGGATTGCCGTCCTTCGCCGGACTTCGACGAGAAATGTTTGTATGAGTGTTGTGTGTGTGTGCGCCGTAAACTCCCCGATGATGTAAATCCGGAAAACTCTCAATTGACAATTGACGAGGATAGAAATGAGCGTTGGCTGAAGTCCCCGTCGTGAAGGTACCCGAACGCGAAAGCGACCGAGTCAGCCATGCCGGTTGAAGGTAACGTCGGCGCAGTGGGAACTTGAGCTCGCGTGCTGCAAAGTCTAGCTTCGAAAATCGAAAGATTTGAAAGTTGCTGTTTTTAATTCCAATGTCCTTGACGCCTTTCCGGTTTCCGTGTGTATCATGAATGCGTACATGCAGGTAGTTCTGCGGCGCCAAAATTCCAATGATGTTGCTTGGTCCAACTGGATAAGAATGGTTGGGAAGAGCTCTATGAATACCCCAAGCTGAAGCTCAAAACTTCAGGCTCGGGGTGTTGGAGATGCATAGAGGTGCCGTCTATTTGGGACCACGCCACGATGAGGCCGAGGGCGATCGTGACATGGGCACGGAGGTCTCGCTGCGGTCGCTATCCATGGAGCGCTTCTCAGGAGAAGGGCTGCGAGGGAAGTAGGAGGTCATGCTGGGGGCCTGGACGCCGGGGGAGGGCAGATCGGAAGGCGAACGGCGGGTTTCGCGCCACGAGGCGTAGATGGACTTGCACAAGTGTGCGGACATGGTGTATGTGGGCGACATTTTGTAGTGTGTGTGTGGACGTCGTGTGAGAAGACTTGTAGGTTGCAGGTTGCAGGTTGTAGGAAGACGGAGAAGCTCTCTGGTGTTGTAGAGAGGTGGTCGCGTGCTTTGTATAAGAGGTTGAGTGAGGCTGAGGTGAAGTTGGCTGTGGAGTTGTTGACACGCGGCTCTGGTGGAAGAGAGAGCAGAACTTGTGGTAGTAGGCTTGGTCGGTTATTATTAGAATCCTTGAAAGGGAGAATGGGAAACAAGATGATAGAGGACAAGCTATGAGGGGGAGCAGACGGGCTGCATTATATTTGGTCTGGAAGTCGTGTGGTGAAGGGACGAACTGCGCGGTAGGCGTGGCACCAGGCACCAGGGGGACCCTTTTTTTCTTTTTCGATTCTCCCCTCCTCCACTTCCTCCTTCTGCCTTGTACCACTGTAGGACGATGTGTACGAATGCCACAGGTACATTTGTGATGTATCCTTACGGCGCGCGCGCTCCCACCTGTCAACTTGGACCCAAATCGGCGGACGGGGGGGCACGAAACATGCGATTTGGCGTCAAAAGAGGCAGAAAACGGACGAGGGCGGGCATGGGGAGATTGAGTGTGACTCGCTGCGCAGAGGGAACTGTCCACTAACAAGGCCTGGCGAGTTCCTCTCTCGCACCCCCCTTTGTGGGATGAGCAGGCTGGCAGCAACCTTTAGCCCCCCACTGCCCAGGAGGATAGCCGCCACAGTCGAGATTCACCAATGAAGAGCTTAGAAGAGTGAGATTGATGGCTTCTGGCCAATGGACGCGTAGACAAAATAAGCAGACGGGTGAATCTGGTGCAATCTGATGGGAGGAAGGTGGGAGTGAAAACGTGCGATTCGAGGCCTGTGGCTGTGCTGAATGGCACCACGGACGGGTGGGCGTTGGTGGTCCGGAACTTGAAAGGGCGGACGGGTCCTTGTGGATGTACACTTCGTACGCATGTATCCCGTAAGGTAGGCTGGGCTGACCATTTTTAGCCACGGCGCATCATCTGGTTCGTCGGCGTGGCCCTGAACCCCATCTAGAACCAGAAGAGCTTGCCCACGGAAAGAAAGTGTGACTGATTATGGCTGGTTGCCCGTTGCTGATCCTTTTGGCGGGGATTTGGTGCGAAGTAGTCGATGTTGGGACGTGCGGGATAATGGACTGTTTGTTAGCTGTTGATGGATATTGCAGAGCATTGGGATCTCACCAGAGTGAGGTCCTGTCCACCGTCAAACTGCTCACTTTGGGGCATTTCAGCTCTCGTAAGACATGACAGCGTCTTGCTGCAAGTTGATACCCAGCAAGACTGACGACGGAGAGAGGGGCAGATTCGTTTGACTCTTACCAAGATACGTCACTGCTTGCGTGCTAGCGATGGGGAATGAGCAAGCAAGACTGACACCAGCCACAACTTGGACGGGTATGCCAGGATCTCTTGATTGGCCGGGGTTCACGACCAAGGCAGCCCAGCTGCATCACGGTCCACGATCACAACGGTCCACCGAACCGACCCTCGCAAGGCAGAGGCAAGAGATCCCGAGCTGGTAGCCGGGACTTGGTCAGGTATCCGTTTCCCGTACGGTACGGAGTACGCTGCCATGCCTTGCCTACCTACTGTGTACCTACCCAGGCCCCAGAGAGGCAAGCACTGGCACAGTGGATCGGCCGCTTCGGGTCGGAGCTCCTCCCGACTTCTGCTCCGACTTCCTTTCCCGACGGGATGCCCAAGGAAGCGACGATCTGCCAAGTTGAAGACTCGGGATTGCTCTTTCCTAGCCTAACGCCGCGCGAAAAGCTACGTGAGGGTTGCAGCAAGTGAGCTCCGAGGCAGGCTGATCGTAGACGGTATGCCCGGTATGCCTACCTAGGTATCCGACGTAGGCATCCAACAGCAGGTTTCGTAAAGGGCAGAGGAACCCGGCGTTGGAGCTCCACGTTCCGAATCGTGGGGGTCCGAAGCGTCTGGTGCCCCGCGACAGCGAGACCGACCAGCAGGCCTGCTCCAAAACCTTAACGTTCCAGTGGTGCGGTGCTCACACGACAAGCTGAGCCAGCTCCAACTAGCAAGCTGCGACTCCTGGTGTGCCGATTGGAGCTGCCGGAACCATCTGCTTTCTGTCCTGTGGCTCGGCGCGCGGGACCTCGAAAATGCCAGACGTACCGGCAACCACTTCCCGCGGGATAACCACTTGTGGATGGGACGAGTTCGTGCCAGTCTGGGGGACTTGAGATGCGACATGGGTGAGGTAGTTGAGGTGTGGGTTTTCCGATGGTTCCAGATGCACACACTCTCTCTGGCGGCTGAGAAATGCTGACCAGCTTTGCGCTGGCTGAAATGTTGATTGTAAATCACAGAAGGGCAAATTCCGGCACGCCATTCTCGTGTGGAATCGCAGAATGGTCAGCATTTGGCATTTGTAATGTGCCAGACAGGCTGACCGTGGGAGTTGTAAGGCGAGCTGCATGACTGGTCGAGAGGAAAATGGCAAGTCCACTCGCAGGCTCGCAAAATGCATGTTTGATGCAGAAACTTCAAGCAGGGCGACGATTCGGCAATTCAATTGTCGTTTGTTGAGGACGACCGAATAATAAAAGACGAGTGTCTGGGAGGAACGTGGTCTGCCAGCTATGTGATGAACACTTTTTTGCTCAATGGTGTGGGACTAGCACTACTTTTTTTGAATTTTGAGAGGCAAAGACATGAACATCCGATATGGTGTAGTGGCCAACATGATGCCCTCTCATCTCTATGAGAGGTTAGGCATAGCCCCGAGTTCGATTCTCGGTTTCGGAATTCTTTTGCTTGAATCGCGAATGGCCTTCTCGATAAAGGAGATGTCGACTGTTTCTTTTATCTTCAAGTTTATTGATTCTACACTTTTGAGCCCCAACTTACCTTGGTAGTCGTTTCTATCTTTGCTGGACTGACGTTATGCGATGCTCTCACACTGACCAATAACGCACGGCGCGCTCTTGACAGGCAGCTCTCACGGCACCAAACACCAAGACGCAATCTACGCACAGCTATCCGCTAGCACCAACATGTCAAGGTGAGCAGCCGCCCGTCACCGACCTAGCAGAGCCGTCACAGATTTAGCCTCACTTTGTCACCGCAATCCTCAGGCCTGCCGAGGCGATCAGCAGGCTTGCAGCTGACGGGTTGGCAGGTATTACATGAGGTGTCATAGCTTAACAGGTCCCGCGGGGCGCAACGAGGCGCACTTCCGTCGTTTCAGAGATGATGGCTGGCCGCTATCTCACCCTCATTGGAGCAAACTGTCTTGGGTATTCTTACTTTGGCAGTGGTGGTTGTATACTCGCCCATCTTATTGCGAAATTGCGTCGGTGAGTCGTCAGCGGAGGGAAGGATTGCTTACGACTCTCACCGTCCGTCCACAACCGACCTTGACATCGTCTAGTGTGTAGGCGAGGTGGTGTTAGCTTCGGTCAAACCTCGCAAGCAATGGCCCAAACATCCGCAAGCATTGCGAATGCCAACGTTCCATTCACATCGATTCCCAATGATTAGAGACGTTTCGTTCTGTTCCCACTGATTCGCCCCACTGGGATTGCTTTGAGGAAAGAGGAGCCAACGTTCGGGGCAGTGATGGTGACGGCTGCGGTGGGCGGAGACAGGAGGAGATTTGAGGGTTGAGAGGGAAGCCGGCCGACTCTATGCCATTACGACATTGGCGTCGCGCAAAGTCGGGCGGCGCTCTTTTCTCATTGGGCCCATGTCCGCGCGCAACTTGGCGTTTAATTGAATCTGGGGCCCAGTTGAAGAAAGCCCGAACGGTTGTCTCCCAGTCCCAGCATCGAACCTCTGCGACTGAAGTGAAAGGGAAGGGTTCATCTTTAATCGACTTTAATGACCTCTGCTCGTGGACTCAATGCGTAGAGTGAGGCTGTGAGGGAAGCATGAGGGGAGGGTGGGGAGGATGAGTCCAGGATGAGGCAACTTGAGTTCACAGGAAAAGCTGTTGGCTGTAACTTATAGGTGCCTGACATATGGTTCGACGGGCATTTTCGCCAGACTTTTCTAGCGCAGTAGACTTGATGCTTCTCGAGTTCTCAACCCCCCCCCCCCCGTATCCCCCTGGAGAGACGTTGTTGAAACAGGCAGACCCCAGATGCGGTCGTATGGGGCTACGTCGGACGCATGAAAGTGTGAGTGGTGCCTGGCTCGCTCGCCTTCACATTCGCGGTCCTGATGGGTCTTTTGGGACTTTGGGTTGAACAGAGGTCAGATGGGATGGGGGCGAGGGGGATATGCAGTAAGGATGATTGTATCTTGGGTGGATGAGAAACCCGGGTTGACCGTTCCAGGCCTTGATGGCTCTTCTCCTGTGGGTTGAGATGAGGGCTTCTGCAGCATGAAGGGTCGAGACATCCGTAGCTGGGTGATGCCGTGGTCGACTAGAGGATGCTTCATGAAGGGATGTCAACTACAGGTCGGCCGGTCAGTCCCTTTTGGAAATGTTTTGACCCAAAAGCAATAATCCGTAAGAGGCATAGATAGCAGAGTTCCAGCCACGCGTGCCATAGTCGCAAGCCCATCGAAAATGTGTCTTTGCAGGTGTCCAGAAGTGAACAAGTCGACTTCTAAAGATGGAAAATGCAGAGTGCCATGGCGGCCTCTGATTGGTCTCATCTGTAACAAGACCAGCCGTCCATCGGCAATGCTTCCCCCCTTCCTTGTTCCTTTTTATTGTGGATTTTGAGGTGCTTCAAACTCTCCTTTACCCCTGCACCTTTTAGTGTTGACTGGTCAGGTATGCAGCCCTGGCGAACATGCGCAGAAACCGTCCACCCCTTGTCTGCCCCTTCTCGGCCGCCGTTTCCTCCAAGAGACATGCCGGTAGTTGAGCTTGCTTCTATTCCCTTCACGACAGTAGTAGCGAGGACTTTTACGTCTGAAACGGCAATGGGAACTGTCGGTGTCCAATCGTGTCCGTCCCAACACGGCCTGAACTAATTCCACCTAATTACAG